CCTCCAATCGTACAACTCTCCGCTCGAATGGTCTCCGGCTCGAAAATGGCTTCTGCTCACACTCGCCTGCACTGCGACATTCCTTACCTCGTATACCGCAGGCGCTTACGCTCCGCCGATACCTCTGATGCAAATTGCGTTCAACTCCTCGCACCTTGCTGTCCTCAGCGGTTTGACGACATTCACTATCGGTTTCGCTATATCGCCAATGGTACTCGCTCCTTTCTCCGAAATCAACGGCCGATACCCTGTCTTTGCTGCCAGTGCCATACTCTATACTGCATCCCAAATCGCGTGTGGGGGAGTGACCTCCCTCGCAGGTATGCTGATCGCGCGTTTCTTCACAGGCGTGGGAGCTAGCGTCTTCAGCACCATGGTAGGGGGCTTCATCACGGATCTCTGGGCAAAGGAGAACCGTAACACCCCCATGGCTATCTTCAGCGGCGCCGGCATTGTGGGAACCGGGGCAGGTCCAATGGCCGCTGCTGCGATCGTACACTTCCATGGCAATGAGCAAACTGGTGCTGGTTGGGAGTGGGTATTCTGGCACATGGCCATCTGACAGGGGCAACAGCTGTCTTGTTGTTGGTTTTCATGCGCGAGAGTCGAGGCCCAGTGCTTCTGTCCAGAAAAGCAAATGCACTAAACAAGTGGTACGAGGAGCTGGAACAGCTGGGTGTATACGGGGTCGTCTTTCCGCATGTCGAGCCAGATGTTGGGAGCACATCACCAGGCCTAGGTTCGCAACCTAGGAGGATACGATGGGTTGTCAAAGAAGATGAGGACCGAATTTCCATCAGCCACATGATCACTGTTTCCGTCTGCCGACCATTTCGCCTTTTATTTACTGAGCCAGTCGTCTTCTTCTTTGCGCTGTGGCTGTCTTTCGCCTGGGCAGTTCTCTTTCTTACCTTCGAGTCGATCGCGATCGTATACGACCGCGTCTACAACATGTCTCCTTTCGAATCAAGCCCAGCGTTCTCCAGCCTAATCGTGGGTGGTACGATCGCGACGATTCTGTGCATCTGGCTAGAAAGCCTCCTGCATATTTCCCAATGGCAAGGTGAACCAGCCGACCCGACACATGCACACTCCAACTTCTGGACTTTCATGAGGCGCCGCTTTCCAGTCGACGTCCCTGAGTCTCGACTTTACTTCACCTGCATCACGACTCTTTTACTTCCAATTGGCCTGTTCCTGTTCGGTTTCCTTTCACGGCCCGAGATACATCATGCTGTGCCGGCTGTGGCTATAGGTATCGCGACTATCGGTATCTACTCTGTATATCTGGCAACCTTCAACTACATTGCCGATACCTACGGGCCCTATGCCTCATCTGCGCTGGCCGCTCAATCATTCTGCCGAAATATTATGGGCGGAACCTTTCCTCTCATTACCACTATACTCTTCCAAAACCTTGGAGAAAAGCGCGCAGGTGGGCTCTTAGGAGGTATCGCAACTGCGCTCGGCATCGTCCCGTGGATGTTGGTATTCTTTGGCGAACGTATTCGCAAATGGAGCAAGTTTGCCCAGGTAAGCAGGCCGCAATCTTTTCCCTCTTGTCGAGGCTAACTTCGCTCCTGAATAGGCACTCGAGAAATCGTAACCGCAGACGGAACCGATGTATAACGCAGGAGAGAAGAGAATCTCTGAGAAAGAACGGGGAAATTGGTGGGTCTCCTGGTCATGGACAGAATGGTCATGGGTCGCAACACGAATATTGGATGCTATTTGCCAGACACAAAGATGCCAGCATGATGGCATGGTTTGCTTGTTAAAGCTGGGAACTACCTCTGTGCAGTTTTCTAATGCGAAAAACAAATGCTCGCCGTAATACAACTCAAGAGCCGAGCCGTCAGCGCGGGAGATCACCACTCTGCCGCCCTGGCATATTTCTCCGCAAAATTCTCCGGGACCTTACCTTTAACAGGCCTTTGCCGATGACGAGTGATCGCGTGATTGCAGGGACCCCAGATTCTCTTCGATGAGCTCCCAGTTTGACTCGCCAGGTGGTTGTCAACTAATATCCAGAGACGACACAGTTTCCCAACGGAGTCGTGCTCCGACACCTCGGTATCTCCAAGGCATGATGGTCGGCGAATTGAGACTCATCTAAACCGTGATCATGGGGGACCTCACGGACGATGTAGACGGTATATAAACTTGTAGATTCTTCTCGTTGCCAATCAAAGGCACCGAGCTTTCAGTGTCACTTTTGGCTATTCCCCGCAGACCCTCTTTCACAATGTTGCCCCAACTCTCTTTTCTCCTGGCTCTGCCCCTGTTGGCGATCGCCGTTCCTTCACCAGCGCCCCTCGAGCACAGCAAGAGGGCCATAACTTGCCTGAAGGTCGGGGCTACTGCAACCGCCAGATGGACGAACAGTGCCGGCAAATCATGCACTTTTACCGGCGTGGTTGGTAGCAACTATGGCACTAACCCTTCCGGCTCCGGAGAGTAAGTCAAGTCTTCCTCTGGTAACATATCATTGTTTACTTACATGGTTGTTCATAGCTATTCTTGCAACGGTCGCTGCGGTGCTGGCTGCACTGGAGCTTCTTTGGGCAATGCGTACACTCAAGACTGCTTCTCTCATGACATCTGCTCCTACTTCAACAGCGCTAGCGGCGGTGCAAGGTAAGCTTCTAGTATTCGTCTCGTGTAAGCTAGCCAAGATGCTGACATCAGTTGACAAGCGATCCCAACTGCGGTGCTGCCTACAATGCTGCGGTTGATGATACCACCCTCGGCGTTGTGAATGGTTGCGGACAGACGAACCCGTCCAACGCCGTATCCAAGCCTTCTACGAGCCCTGTCTGTACTTAGTAGAGAGACAGAAGCATGAGCAAGCCCATCATTGGCGGCTGTGATGACTTTGTGAACATTATGAGTTAAAAGAGACAGGTTTGGAGTCTGCACATACGATAATATCTATAAACAATTGGTATTAAACTACTCTACATACAAAAGTCGAATGCAATCTTGAAGAACTTCTATGACAATTTTCTCGGGGTCTCCAAGCGCATACTAGTACTAGAAAGTACTTTTTGGTATCATCGCAAATGTCGCTGTGCGAGGCATTGACAGGAATAAGAGGACGGAAACAGAGGGAAACGGACGGAAGAAACCAGCTCAATGTTGTCTTTAGTGGCCTGCATGGTCATCCCTGTACTTCGGGTAGTCGAAGAAATCATCAAAGATCTTTTCGGTGCCAGGAGGGTAGGAGAAGGTGACCGTAGGATCCTCTTCGTTGCCTGGGTTGGGGACGGAAGGTGTGTCTCCTACTTGCTGCGAGAAGCCGTCGGTGAAGTCCATCGTGGTTTGTTCAGGGTCAGGGAAAGGGGTGCTTGCAGAATTGTCTGCATGGCTTGGTCGCAGATCGCCGACATAGCGGACGGGCTCAGAACCTGACTGAGAGCTCGCAACAATCTCGCGTCCGTAGTACAGGGCGCCAGATCTCATCAACCGAGCCGTATCTGAGGCAGCGGCGATGTTGCTGTGCTGGGCATGAGGCTGTTGGTAAAAGCTGTGCAGAGAGCCGTCGAACTGTTGGGTGTCGCCAGCTTGGTTCGACGAAGCCGGTCCGAAGCCGAAGAACGGATCGTGGACAGAGAGTTCTTGGGCATTATCGTAGATTCCAAGGTCATGTTGCATAGACCGAGGTCTGTTATTGGCCTTTAAAAGGAGGTCAGCGATGTACGTTATGGTTAGGAAGGCGATGGTACCTGGCGGGAGACGTTGGTAGGCCGAGAACCGTTGAGTTGAAGGACCTGAGGGTCCACATAGCGCGGAGGATGAATGAGGCCGGTGGTCTGAGGCTGAATGTCGTTTCTGACAGAGTTCCTGGGGCCTGCGTACGGTAGGGGCAGGGCTGGGCGGGCGTTGGCAACCATGTGAAACTCCCGTCGAGCAGCCTCAAGCTCAGTTCTCTCGTCCTCCTCTTCGTCCTTTTCCGTCATGTCTCTGGCCTGTGCTTTCGAGCGACGTGCCTTCTTGGCGGGCGGCTTGGCCTGGTCGTCCTTCTCACGGGCTCTTTTGGTTGCTTTGAGCTTTCCGGTCTCGTCAGTCTTGTTGCCAGATTCTGCAGCTTTGGGGAACCTCGTTGGGTGAGGACTGTTGGAACCGCTCAGGATGTCGCGAAGACGAAGGACCAACGGCATGACATGATTGCTCTTCTTCCATTCCTGAGTAAGGTTTTGAGGTTCTTGGTTGCCACTGTCGATGTCCTTGACGTGAAGCAGAATTGCCGCGTACCAAAGATGATTATCGTGACGGTCACAACCGAACATCATTTTCTCGCGGCTCGGGACTTCATCGTTGACGAGGCCTCGCAGCATCCGCTGCTGTGAATACAGCTTGATGTACTTGCCCCTGGAGTCATTGCTGTTGAGCGTCTGGAGGAGGAAGAGAGCATGACGGGTTCGAGGCGCGCCGTTGAAAGGGAATCTGTTGATCGCGTTGGAGATCTGGGCAGTCATCTCCTCTGCAGTGACATGATTTTCGCCGTCTCCAGGATTCTCGTCCTGGCCATCGTCCAGGGCGCCCTTCTCTCTGCGACTGCCCTTGTGATTGTTCTCCTTACCCTGGCGCTCCCCTCCCGGAGCTTTGTCGTTTTCGTAGCCAGCCATTGTGGTTTTCTCGCTTTGTTGTCAGCTTGTGGGCGTTTTTGGTGTGGAAGGTGATGGTTGAGGGTCGAATTTGATGGAAAACGCGTCGAAAGATTTGTGTAGAGGACCAGCAAATTTGGCGAAAAAAAGGACGGAGGACAGAAAAAAAGAATTTTCACAGCAGCAGAGAGTCGAGAGACACAAGGTGAACTGAAAGAAGCAGAATAAACATGGCTCGGGAGCTATCTGTATATGTGTCTGGTCTCTTAATTGGCGCTAGACGAGGGCCAGTCGGGGGAGCCAGCGTGAAGACCATATCAAACCTTGCTCAGTCTCATAGCCCCTCCCCCGACTTGGGTTCATCGACCTTCAGCTTTGAAATTTATTTCAAAATCATGCCAACTCAACCTGTTTCACTCTTCCCTCTTTCGTCACCTCATCGACATCCGCTCCCTCGATATCCTTCTCCTTGCCCTCAGGCTTGCCCTCAAAGACCTCTCGGATTTCCTCGAGCGTGTGTCCCTTCGTCTCAGGGAACAAGAACCAAATCAGGCCCAACAACAGCCCGAGAATACAGCAAAACACGATGTAGTACTTCCAAGCTATCGACTTCATCGCAATAGGGTTGACCTGGTTGCCAATGATAAGACCAGTAAACGCGGCGATGTACGTAACCGAGAGGCCACAGCCACGCAGAGTGTAGGGGAAGATTTCGACTGGGTATGCTTGCAATAGTGGCGTCCACGCAATGTCGTAGAAGAAGTAGAAGATAAATATGAATCCCACAACAGCTCTTCCAGTCGCCTCGTTTTTGCTCGTCACGAAGTAGGACGTCAGGCCGGTCCAAATGATGTAGCTGGCAAGCATGCCTCCTGTGGAGATGAGGAACAACGGGCGGCGTCCGAGACGATCAACCATGAGGGCTCCGAGGAAAGTAGAAATGATCCAGTTGAAAATCTGCAGCAGTCCGTTGATAAGAGTCTGGTCCTTGACTTCAGTTATGCCGATCGTGTTGAGGACAAGCGTCAAGTAATATGAAACCACAGCCACACCGTTCTACGCAGGGTTAGCTAACTATAAGGAGATTCAATTGCGGGAAACCACCTACCCATTGACTGAAAAGGCCGACAATCACTGCAAGAAGAGTTCGTTTGCGGTTCGCAGGGGTTCGGACAAGCTCAAGCCAGGAGGATTGGGACATAGCTTCAGCTTCGGCGTTGAGGGTTTGTTCGACTTCGCGCATTTCGAATTCGACGAGAGGGTTGTTGAGGTCTCCGCCTGCATGGTAGTCTGCAAACATCTTCCGGGCTTCGTCTTTGCGGCCACGACTCATGAGCCAGCTACGTGTGATGAACGTCAGTTGTGATCCACAGGTTTTGCCATATCAGCCTTGAGCTTACCGAGGTGACTCTGGTAGGAAGAAGAGGCCGAGCAGCTGAATGACCGGAATGGCACCTTGCAAGAGTGATGGAATCCTCCAGCTCCACGCTGTGGGGTTCTTGAAGGTTCCGTATGTGCACCATGCAGCAAAGATAGATCCGAAGTAGCTTGAAGTATGTCAATGATCTGCCAACGAAGATGTGCAGCAGGCTGACTTACAAGAAAGTGTTGTAAAGTGCCGTGACCTTGCCTCGCTGGGGAGGGTAGGCCAACTCGGTGATGATGATGGGGCTTGGCTGGCTGATGAATGTAGTGAAAAAGCCGAGAAGAGCTCTTGCGGTAACAAAGCTTGCCAAAGAGGGAGACAGTCCCTGGAGGATAGCAAATCCGATACAAGCTACCAACCCAATGCCGAGAGGCAGCTTGCGACCCCAGCGATCAGAGATATAGGTGACGAAGAATAAAGCGACGACTTTGCCGAGCGGGTAGACCGCATTCATGAGACCAAGGACCGCACCCTCGGGGTTTCCAAAGAACCCACGCCATTGAGGCAGGGTTTGGAGACCATTCATCATCGAGCCTGCATCGAGGTTAGCTCGCGTCCTCAAATTGCGAAAGACATCGGTTGATTTCATACCATCGTAGCCAACTGAAGCGGAAGAAAACAAGGGAACAAGTAGGCAAAGATTCAGTTTAAGCAAATGCGATGTTCGGTACCATGGTTTCGGGTTCGCTGGAAGGACCTAGAAGTCTTGCGTCAATGACAGTACTCGACCACAAAGGATGATGTCGCGAACTCACAGCTGCGAGTGCTGAACCAACAGCAAGCTCCGTCTCCTTCTTTTTCCCGAAGACACCCATGATGACCTATGATGTCTTTACCAAAAGTCGGAGACTTTTGCAGAATTTTCTCCAGCAAGATCGTCGCGACCAGATGCGAGCAATTTCGGCCGAGACAAGCGACTGCAGGACGTCCAACTGAGTGATTCAAACTCCATGACCAAGAGGGGAACCATGCCATTTAACTGCTCGCTAACTATGCCCCCGTCCGCCTTAACCAACATCACGTTTCCCAGCCACCGAGGTTCGAGACTCTCAGCGCGTCTCCACGGTTCCATCCTACCCCAGATAATCTCCCCATGGGGTAAAACGGGAGCCGGAACTCGGGTGCCAAGATGTCTGGAAGTCGGAAGCCAGGATAGCTCCGGGTAAGGGTTCGGCATCCATCAGCTCCGATACTCCCCGGCCCATTTCGACCAAATCGGCAATTGTGGCTCGGGCCCGATACTCCGCAAGCCACGGCGTTGTCTCGGGGAGTGTCGGCGGAGGCAGTCCACAGTTTCTCCAGCGGCTTCTGGCAAGTCATTGGACGACAACGACGAGACGGATCATCCTTTGGTCCATTCCCACATGCATATGTCATATTGAGGCTCTTCGGAGGGGTTTTGAAGATATCAAACGCAATTAGAAAGATTCGCCTGCATCGGCTCCCACACTATTGACGATAGCATCACTACTTAAAGTGTGCCCAACGACCGCCTCAACTCTTATGATCTAACCTAGATTGCGAGTCACATCGAAATATTCCGGGAATTCACGACTGAGCTCATTGGCTGTGGGAGAGCTAGACAACCAACCAACTGGACCCCTTTCAACCCACTAAGCCCTTCATTATGGCCGCCCAACGGATCCTCAAGGTCGGCATCATTGGCTGTGGTGAAATCACCCAGGTCGCTCACATCCCCAACATCAATTTCCTTTCTCAGTACTTCCAAACAACATACCTCTGCGATATTTCTAAGCAAGCTCTCCAACACTGCGCCAGAAAGGTCCAGGGCGGAGCGCCGAAGACGACCAATGATGCCGCCGAACTCTGCTCCTCGCCCGACGTTGATGTCGTGGTGATTGCCAACGCCGACGCCTACCACGTCAAGCACGGCATCCTGGCTCTTCAAAACGACAAGTACTGTCTACTCGAGAAGCCAGCGGCGCTGTGCTTCCGTGATATCGATCTTCTCGTGGAGACAGAGAAGAAGTCAAAGGGAAAGATCATGGTTGGCACCATGCGTCGCTTCGCTACCGCCTTCACGGACGCCGTCAAGGAGGTAGGCGGCATGGAGAAGATTCAGTATGCAAGAGTCAGAGATATTATTGGGCCCAATTCGACCTTTGTCGACCAGTCCGGCACATTCCCTCAAAAGTTCAACGACTTCAGCGCCGCAGATACCCAGGACCGTGAGAGCAATGAGAAGGACATCTTTGAGCAGGCCCTGGTCAACGAGTTTGGGGTTCCAGCAACGCCCCAGTCGAAATTGATGCTGCGACTCTTGGGAGGGTATGTACGAACGTCGCAATGTCGTAACGACACTAACAGACTCGTAGTCTCGGAACTCACGACCTGTCCGCCATGAGAGAGATCATCGGCATGCCAAAGAGCGTGGCCGGTGCGCACCTTTCCTTCCCTGGAATCTTCGCCGCCCTGTTCAGATACGACGACTTCCCCGTCACTTACGAGTCTGGCTTCAGCAAAGTCCCTCAGTTTGACGCCCATATTGAGGTCTATTCGCCTGAGAAGATTGTTCGCGTTGATTTTGACACTCCCTACGTGAAGGGCTTGCCAGTCACGATGACGATCCGGGAACTCATCGGCGACGCCGGTTTTCAGGAGCGCAAGGTTCGAAAGACGTACGTCGATCCGTACACAACGGAGTTCTTGGACTTTTATGACTGCGTCGTGAACGGCAAGCAGCCAAAGACGAGCGCGGCTGACGCGAGGAATGACATTGAGCTTTTTAAGATGATAATCCAAGCCGACGCTGGAAGGTACGAGAGTGAGGACTAAGGGGGTCTGATAGATAGTATGAGGCCTCCAGCAACAGTGTGTATTTATCCCATGCATTCACCCTCGGGTTTGATCATAGTATATCAGGTTGTTATCGTCTCAAGCAATCTTTATTACATTGACCGAACGCCGAGCCGCCTTTCATGCCCCTCCCATACCCGCTACTTTGTTTTCGTTGACTGATTCTGCTGCCCATGCCCTCTTCTTAGCTAGAAACCTCAACTCTCTGGGAGTTTCATTCATACTGGGTACACGAATAACTAAAGTGGATTTCGGTCTTGATTGCCCCCTCCTCTACTTGCCCAAGACGCATCATTCTCAGCGCAAGTTTCGGCCACCCAGTAAACCTGTCCCAGTAAGCCCTCATATATTCTGGTCACAAGCCCGCATCACGATGTGTGACCGCACGCCCCAATCAGATCCAAAATCCATCCAGACGCCAAGCTCTATGGCTTCGGCGTAGAACGAGCGCTTCTTTTCAAGAAGCGCCTGGTGAATTTTGTAAGAAACTTGTGAACAATCAATTGGGACGGTAAGCATGTCATCGGGACTTACAGAAACACAATGATGTGCTCTACACGCGGCGTTTAGTATCCTTGGTTACAATACCGTTTCCTGGATGCGGACCTGTATCCTGCCACCCCCTCATCCCCGGCCTGCTTATGGCTGAGCGAGGCAGATCTGCTGTCCCAGGGAAGCTGGGGCGAAACCGACTCGAAAGAATTCTCTGGCGTGAGAAGACCCGTGGGTTTCGTCGCACTGGCGGGTTCGGTTGTACCGGTTGGCCTCGTCGTGATGCTGGCAATGTCACAACGAGAATCCCGATGCTTTCTTTCGGGCCAATCGTAGAGCTGCAAGAGCAATACCCCTCCCTCAACCTCACGAAGGACGTCCTCAGCAGAGGCGCCCGACCGAATTCTTCTGAGGACCTCATGGGCCTGGAACTCAGGCATGGACCGGATTGCGCGAAAGAAGCCGTTCAGGCAGTCATTCTGGCGCTCTAGTTCGGTAAACTTCCTTTTCATTGAGGCGCTGCGCGACTCAGAGGGGTCGGCGGTGTACCGACAATCGAATCCACGACTCGTGCATTGAGAGCATTTTGGACGGTCGGCGGAGCACTTGTCAGAGACGAGCAGATTAGTGCGCGATGTCTTCAACGAGGAGGTTCCTTGGGGGATTGGGAGAGCGAACTTTGGTTTTGCGCTTCTTGCAACTCTCGCAAGCTACCCAGACGTTGCGCCGGGCGGGTTTCTGGTCAGATCGTGGTGACGATGCATTGTGTGGATTGCGCGGTGACGTAGGCGAGGTGGGAATAGCGTCGGATTCAAAAGCGGGACGGATCTCCCGGTAGCAACGGTTGCTGGCCATGTAGTCGTTCGTCACGGCAGAAAGACCATGTTTTGGATGAGGAAGGAAAGGAGGTTCTCAATGGCCAAGGACGAAGGAAATGAATTGGAATCGACTGTTGGGGGTCTTGTATCGATTTCTTCTTCAAAAAGGTCCAGGCCTGGCTCGTCCCACGAAGCAGTGGACACACGGTGCAACAGGATGCTTTTTCAATCCCACCGTTCCAGACGGGCCCTTCTCCATCTGCGCGTGACGTAAATCTTTATCTTCTGTCACTGTTGCATCGAGATCGAACTGGAGGATGCACCGTTTCCGCAGAGTCGCGTGTTAATTGGCTGCGTGAGTGAAACGGGGTCAGCCTGTGTCACGGCGCCGCAGGAGCCCATGCGGAAAAGGGCGATGAGTATCAAAATCGAGATGGGGAATCTGGGATCGAGATTCCCTTCAGGATTAGGTGTTCTCCGGCAACCATTCCGTTCGCACGTGGAGCGGCTGAACGATGCTGCGAAGCCGGTTAATCAGATGACGTCTCACGTGGAGAGGAGAAGGAGAAGAGTGGGTGTCGAATGGCTGGCTCTCTAACTCTACATCATGCTTCAATCACCTTCTTCTTGACAATTGCTCATGCTGGTCTGAACTTCAGAGGCCTTACATAACATTTAGTGGAAGGGAAATCAGAAACTTACCTAAGATGAGAGCCTGGTGAGCTTATCAGATTGAAGAGTGAGGTGAGTTCAATCGGCCGTCATCCGTGTCTCACTCATCAATCAAATTCACTCGCGAGTGTCACCTCACTTTAAGACTGTTCGTCCACCCGTCCCAGCAAACGCAAGTGAACACAGATAGCCCTGATGATCTCTGCCTTTTTGAGCCCGCGAGCTCGTCCAAGCGACTCACTGGCAGAGTCCCGTTCGTCCATGGATTCTCGCTCCCAATTGACCCATTCGGATCATGTGCCCCGGTGGACCAGCGTAACATTCATCACTCTGGCATCTCACTCGTTCATCTCGTGTCTGCAGTCCCAGCAAACAAGGTCAACAAGGTCAACCCGGCCGATGAAGATGAGCCGACGGTTGTCTGCTAACCCTCTGCCAAGCAGTCGGGTCTACTTGGCTCATCATGACCCCATTCACACAATCCAAGCCGTCAGTTTTCATTACCAGCACCCACCAGCGTCAACTCAGTCAACAGATCCAACGGCTGCCAAGCCAGCCACCTCTTCTCTTCCCTCGTCCTCAAGCCCTTCACCGCACCGAAATGACATCAACCCCAGGCGGACCCCGGCCTCAAAAAGGCATCGTTTCCAGGGCGCGGGACAGAAGGATGCGACGCCCCAGACGCTAAAACCCCGCACGCCATCGCGCACTTCACCCGCATCAACTCACGGTAACACCACAACCCCTGCACTCCGAATGCCCCCTGGGCCTCCCAAGCTTCCCCTAGCTCTAACTGGGAAATACTTCATATGGAAGCTGATGAACCTTCCATAGCTTCCCCCGCACCACCGCGCCCAACCCTCACCAACGGGAAAATTCTCCAGCTTTCGTCCAGCTTGGCATCCCCAGCCACGATCATCCGCTCTCTGCAGACTCCCAAGCTTCCCACGCCGCCTCTCAATGGCCCGGCACAGAGTCTTCGGTCCTCGGGCCAATGCCTGCCGGTCCGTCTCGGCCGCACCGCAAGAAGTCATGAAGTCAATATAAAAGCCCTGATGTCGCATTCGAAGGCCCCATCCCACGAAGAATAAGCTCAGAGAGCCACGCCTCAAGTCAAAGTGCTAGCCAAGCTTGCTTCGACCATCACGTCCTCAAAATGGCGCTCACGAAGCTCTTCTCGACGGGCCTCCTCCTCGCCTCGCTCGCGTCCGCAAAGTGGATCGTCCCCGGCGGCAGATGGCGTGATACCGAGGGCAACCTCGTCAACGCCCACGCCGGTGGCGTCACCATCGATCGCGACACGGGCAAGTTCTTCTGGTTCGGCGAGTACAAGGTCCAGGGCCAGGAGGAGGGCGGCGGTGTCTCCGTCTACAGCTCCGACGACCTGGCGACCTGGGAGTTTCACGGCAAGGCTCTCGAGCCCATTGACGGACACCCGTACATCGACTCGGACATGATCATCCAGCGTCCCAAGGTGGTCTACTCCGAGCCCACCGGGGAGTATCATGTACGCCACCTTCATCTTCCCACATGGTCGATTGGCTAACAGCTCCTCCAGATGTGGTGGCACGCCGACAACTCAACCTACGGTCTCCTCCTCCAAGGCCTGGCCACCTCCCCAAACATCAGCGGGCCCTACACCTTCGTCGACGCCACGGCGCCTCTCGGCAACTGGTCCCAGGACTTTGGCATCTTCACAGACTACAAGGACGGCCGCTCCTACGCCCTCTACTCCAACGGTGACCGCCGCGAGGGCCGCGACGTCTACCTCAGCTCCTTCAACGACGAGCTCACAAACGTCACCGAGGTCGTCCACCGCTTCGACAAGTACGACCTCGAGGCCCCGACCATCATCCAGACCGACTCGAGCTACTACGCCCTCATGTCCCACAAGACGGGCTACCGCCCCAACAACGTCGTCGCCTTCCGCGCCGACTCCCTCGCCGGCCCCTGGTCCCAGCCCTTCTTCGTCTCCGACTCGTACACCCGCACCTACAACTCCCAGTCCGGCTTCTCCCTGCGCATCAACGGCTCCGAGGTGACGACCTACCTCTACCTCGGCGACCAGTGGGACTCCAACTCCCTCTGGGAGTCCCGCTACATCTGGCTGCCCCTCAGTGTCGACGACGAGAAAAAGTCCGTCCACGTCGAGTGGCACGACATCTACGACCTCGACGTCAAGACCGGCGTCGTCACCCCGATCGAGGGAACGACCTACACCGCGCACGACTCCGCCACCGTCTCCGGCAACGCCTTCAAGCAGGAGGCCAACTTCGCCAGCGGCGGCACCATCGTCACGGGCATCTACGGCAACGACAGCAAGGTCACCTTCGAGGGCATCGAGGGCGCCGGCGAGCCGCAGTGGGTGTCGTTCTACTACCAGAACACGGACGACATGGGCTTCGGCGACCAGCCCGGCGGCACGCCCGACCGCATCGGAGGATCGTGGCAGCTGCGCCGCATCGCGAGCGTCATCGTCAACGGCAACGAGCAACAGGTCGAGTCTCTGTACCAGCGCGACACGCACAAGGGCATCATCCTGTCCACGCCGCTGAACCTGACCTTGGACAAGGGATCAAACAACACAATCACCATCGGCGGTCTGTGGAACGGATTCGACTTCAAGGGTGCCGACATCGACCGCATTGTGGTGTATCCCCCCGAGGAGAAGAAGACCGTCGAGTCCAAGTAGACATGAGCGTCTCCACATAATGATAATAGTAAAAAGAAATGTGTATCTAGACAAAGCAAATATCCTCCCACACGACCTCGTCAGTGATCGCTTCACCGGACATGATGCCGTGAACGTATGCATCGCAGACTATGACAAAGTTACCCCCTTCCACCCTTCTCATCTGCAGCGGCAGCTGCAGCCCCTTCAGAATCCATACCTCGTCTCCCAAAGCTGCGGAGTTGTCTAGCAGAGCCATATGTCCCCCATCAAGAAGCGTGAACAATCGATTATTATGCAAAGAATGGATCTGCCAGATTCGGAGATGCTCCTCTGCCCTTTCTATGACCGCCCTCTTCTCCTCTCTCGACGCCTCCTCGGCCTCTCCCAAGTAACCCAGTATGCCTAGCCGAGCCTTCAGGTCTTTTGTGCCGGGGTATAGCCCGGTCGTGTCCATGGCTGCCGTTTCATCGAAATCCTTCATGCTCTCCTCCACATCATCCCAGTCCATCCCAGCCTGTAACTGCGCAATGGCAAGCTGAAGCATGCAGGAAACCGTCCATTCGCGGAATGATAGTCCCACCTCGTCACGCGCTCCCAGGAGTCGGCTCATGGGCTCCTTCTTGTCCATCACGAGCGTGCGCCAATATGTATCCACCGTAGGCCGGTTGGTGAAGGGATATACAGGATTCGCCTGGCCGCTCAGAGCCTGTGCCAGAAAGTCCGTCGATTCGGGCACGGCGCCGACCTTGAAACCTCGACAGTACAGCTTGTCACCCACAATTCTAATCCCCAGGTCTGCGTTCCCGGCATGCCTGGAAGCATCTTGCGCCAGATCCGTCACAATGGTCCCGCGGAAGTCGGGCACCCAAGACGGAAGACCTTCCATTCTCTCATAAGCCACGCCAGCCCGCGTGAGAAGCTCCAGTCGTCCAGACCCGACAATCTGGCTGGTGACTCTGGTGTAAAGGTCCGGCAATGGTATGTCGTAGTCCACACTGATCAGGGCGTCATCGAACCCAAAGTCCACGAAATCGTCGCGGTGCCTCTCAAACTCGGCGAGAATCTTTTCAAACTCGGCGATGAACTTGAGCATTCCGAATAGTCCATAAATCTGGTCCCTGCCATCAGTGCTCTCAAAGGTCGAGGTGCTATCGAGCAGGTCCTCCAAAGCCTTTTCCCATTTCGGGAATAGGACAATAGTGATGTAGCCTTCGGGTGTGAAAACCCCAGGGCGTATCGGATTACTCGGATCTCGGGAATAGAGATCTCTGTAGTAGTCGCACCAGCTACGACAGGTGTTGATCGCAGTCGCGTTCATGATACCCATGTCAACCTGCCGATGGAGGCCGTTTTCGCCCATCAGTTGTTGGCCGCGGTACAGTGACCCAGAGTTCATCGTGAGCCAGGCAAAACTGCCCAGGGCAGGCCACGGTATCTGCTGATTTCCGCAGAGGACGATGACCTCCGTGGACAGCGCGACCTCCTGCACGACCCAAAGCCTCCGGAACCAGCGCCGCCCATATATGCCTTCGAGTGCCATCCAGTCTTCCAGAGCTAGGTCCGGGATCCCTGCCATTGCCCGAGCTAGGGGCTCATAGTCTTGAGTCGCGTTCACCTCCCAATAGCTGATACCAGGGGCATCCGACCACTTGTACCATGTCTCAAGCCTGGCTATAATGACTTCAAGAGCTCTTTCCAAGCCCGGCTTCTCCCTTCCTATCCACGCGACAGTCGAATGAGACTTGGTGTAAATCTTGTCCATGATAGCAACCTGCGCCGAGCGCTCGGCGTTGTCGTCCTGGTTGATGCAAATGGCGTCAATCCAGAACCAAGCGTCTGGAAAGCTCTGTCGTAATTGGAGAAGAGCATCGCGCAGATTCTCCCGTACTGGGAAATTTCTCCCATTGACAGCAATGCTGGAGAATCTAGGGGCCTGGTCCGCCTCATCGGAGTCGAAATCCGCGGCTCCCCAACAGTACGACAATGTGTAGTATTTCGGATGCGCTGCGAGCGAGAATGTCGCGACTTGCGTTTCAAGAGGACTGTCGCGGGCAGCTTGGATGTTCACCAGTCGGAACTGACTGGCGCTCACTGCTGAGGAATAGGTAAATGACTCGGAGGTAGCCATTGGGTTCATGAAAGTGATGCGACTGATACTCGATCGAGCGGTTGGGAGTAGGGAGAGGAAGAAACGGAGGCCTTGAAGTACGGTGGTGCAGGAGCTGAAAGTGTCTTGTCTGCCTGTTATCCTGCAGGCTGGGCAGCTTGGGTGGACAACCTTTGCTTGGCCATATCCATAACCAGTTAGCTCAGGTCAATCAAAACACACGCATGCCTGTATTGACAATTAATGGCCATCACTGAATCTGAATTGCTTCGTTGAAGTTGACTGACCTTGCGACCCGCCCAGACCGTTCAACTATCTTGATAAATACTACACCCTTCTCAACGGCTTTCTGCTGGTCTTCCATCCGCTTGGTGGCTGATCTATGCCAAGCCCCTGAGGCCTAAAGACGAGCAAGAGAAAACCTCGGGCCCAGACAATGGTGAGCAAGATATCAAGCCAGATCCATACCAACGGCAACTTTCACTAATGAATAAAGTGCGCGTATCGGCCTGAGGGTTGACCACCGTTGCACGACTAACTTCCTTATAGCCCATACCCCACTCACCGTCATCGTTTCCGTCCTCTTTCGCCGTCGCCGTCGTCGTCGTCGTCGTCGTCGTCGTCGCTGTTGTCTCTCACCACGTCGTTTCTCATCTACATCGGGTTTCACCAGTGTCATCTCTTACTGTCATAGTCTCTTATCATTATCGTCTTTCACTATCATTGTCTTCCACTTTCACCGACTCTCGCCCTTGTTTCACCGGCCGTGATCACCCCCCCTCCCCTCTCCGGCCATCGTCCGCTGTCGTCGTCCTTTCTCGTCGTCGTCCGTCGTCGTCCGCCGTCGTCCTCTCTATCCTTGTCGTCTCTGGTCTTGGTCATCGTCGTCTAGGAAGTGTGGACGTCCGCCTTCGCAATGGCCTCTGTTACCGACTCGATGGCTGGGTCAGCCTCTGCCTTCTTTTCGCCAGACTCCACAGTTGCGCCGGCAGCCTTGGCCTTTTCGGCCTCCTTCTTGGCCTTCTTGCGGGCCTTGTCGGCCTCCTTGGCGGCCTTCTTGGCAGCAGCCTTCGCCGCAGCCTCCTCCTTCTGCTTGCGGACTTCCTCGCCGCCGAAGGCGTCCTTCCACTCCTCGATCTTAGTGGCAGGGATGAGAGAAAAGAGATGCTTAGGCTCGCCGAGCTTGTGGCCGGGCTTGATCGCATCGACAACCCAGCTATCAGGAATAGTCGGTTTACTGTCGACGCCGAGCTGCTCAAAGATGGCCTTGGATGTGTTGGGCAGGAAGGGGCTGACGAGAGATGCAATAAGGTTAATCTGGTTCAGTGCGTGACCGACCACGGCAGCGCAACGGTCAGGCTCCTCGGTCAGCAGCTTGTTGTCAAGCTTGTTGTCCTGGAGCAGCTTGTTTCCAAGACTGCGTCGACTGTTAGCGGCCGATGCTGAGCGATACCTAATTTCAGAGGCACTTACGCAGAAATCGACAGGATGCTGTGCAGGGAAGCTCTCATCTTGGTGTCCTCCATGTTCTTGATGTACTCGCTGAGGAGGTTGTTGACCTCGACAACGTGGTTCTTCAGGTAATCATCCGTGTACTTGGTGTAGTCAGGGACAGCGCCGTTGGTCTTGGCCTGGCAGAACTTGTTCACTGCAAAGTATTAGCTATGTTAACGATGACGCGAAGGGCTTTGCTCACCTCTCTGGCAGAAGTTACCGAGGTTCTTGAGGCTGCGAAGTGTGTTAGCTACAACCGCAAATCGAGCTGATGCGAATCTTACAGTTCGTTGTTGTTGCCGTCAACCATTTCCTGCCACATGAACTCGGAGTCGGACGTCTCCGGGCGGCGGGCAAGGAGGTAGTATCTCCAGACATCAACGGGAACTTCAGTCTGCTGGACTTGGTTGCCGAAGACACCAACACCTCTCGACTTGCTGAACTTTCCACCCTCGTAGTTGAGGTACTCTGTAGTGGAGATCTTGTGCAGCTTGGTCCAGTTCTCTCCTGTGCCGAGCTGGGATCCGGGGAAGATGATAGTGTGGAATTGGACGTTGTCCTTGCCCATGAATTGGTACTGTCGAAGGTCAGTTCTGAGCTCTTTGAATACGTGTGTAGCGCGCGCGTCACTTACCAGCTTGACATCGTCGGGGTTCTTCCACCACTGCTCCCACTTCTTGCCCTCGAGGTTGTCGCCGTCGGTGTAGTTCTTGGTGATGGAAACGTAGCCTAGACGGGTCAGTCGTAGATCTGGAAAGGGAGGTATAGCAGCCACTCACCAATGCAAGCGTCGAACCAGACGTAGAACACCTTCCTTGCGTAGTCCTCGCCGACCTCGCCGGTGGGGATGGGCACACCCCACTTCAGATCTCTCGTGATACCACGGGGCTTCAGGCCCTTGTCGATCCAAGCCTGGGTGATCTGCTCGGCGTTGTTGCTCCAGGCGCCCTTCTTGCTGGAAGACTGGAACCACTTGACAAGCTCATCCTTAAGAGCATCAAGCTTCAAGAACAAGTGCTTCGTCTTGCGCTTCTCGGGGGTAGCTCCGTCGAGCTTGCATCTGGGGTTGATCAGCCAGCCAGTGGCCTTGGCGGCGACGTCGTCGTCGGCACCAGCGTTGGGGTCGGTCTCGGGCTCCAAGGGGTCGAGCAGGTTACCGCACTTGTCGCACTGGTCTCCTCTGGCGCCGTCGTAATTGCAGACGGAGCAGGTACCCTCGACGAAGCGGTCAGCGAGGAAGGTGTTGTGAGCCTCGACGGGGCAGAAGGGCTGGATGGTCTCGCGCTCCTCAATGTAGCCATTCTTCCACAGCTTGGTGAAGATGTCCTGGACAATCTCGGTCTGTTGGGGAGTGGGGGTTCGGCCGAAGATATCGAAGGAGATGTCGAAGTAGTCGTAGATGCCCTTGTGGATGGCGTGGTACTTGGCGCAGAGGGTAGCAGGGTCGACACCCTCCTCTAGTGCCTTCGTCTCGGTCGCAGTACCGTACTCGTCGGAGCCGCAAACTGGAGGTAAAATCGTTAGTCGTGGACGGAGATGAAGCAGGTGTGGAGGGGTTGCGACGTACTGTAGATGGTGGGGTTGCCGCGGGCGCGAGAGTAACGGGCGAAGACATCGGCGGACAGCACGGAGCCGATAATGTTACCCAGATGAGGGACGTTGTTGACATAGGGCAGGGCCGAGGTGATGAGGATGTTGTTTTTACCCTTGACGGGCAAGATGGGCTCGGTGGGCGCCATGGTGAGGTATGCGATCGTTGGTGTTGGTGGGGTTTGCGAAAGATTTGACCGGTTCGGTGGGATGATGCCCTCGGGGCGGCGTCAATTGGTAGCTGAACAAGTGGCTCAAGTAATGCCGGTGTCTTTGTTCGTGTATTCGTATGTCGGTTGCTTCAGATGAGCCGGGAAGCGAGGGAGACGGACGACGGAGACAAAAGACAGTGGCTTCAACTAGCGACAGAAGGGAAAGGAGTCACGCAGAGCAGAGCGCACCTTCCGCACCTCGTCGCTGACTCTGACTCTGATTGACGCAAGAGCCACAACCCCGCACTATCCCCGATCGGGATGAGGGGCAGTCTCCAGCCGGGCCTGCTAAATTTTCAACGGTTACAGGGAGCGCAGGGCGCAAACTGAGCAGCGAAAGGCGCTGACGCCCTCCACTGTGTTTAGCACCTCAGGGTCCACTGGGTTGTGTCCGTTCCCCGAGTTCACCTGCGCTCGGTGTACTTCGGTCTGATCTCGCCATCTCAACCAAAACATTAGATGCGACTTGACTGTTGGCTGAACAACAGCAACATTTTGCATCATGTAGTAACCTTGGAAATGTTACCTGTGTTCTCTAAACTTGCCGCTGACTCCTAGCACGAGGGCTTGTCCACACCCTTGTAAGTAGTGTACTATCCTATTGAACTTCCCGAGGACCTTTCAAAATTATCCATCGTGTCTATCTCATCAGGATATCGTAATACGTCTTCACAAGCCTGGGAGGCTAAAGAAGCATTCAGAAGTTCAATGAATTGGACTTCGAGACGCGAGTCAGCTGAAGAACTGACTAAGACGAAGATTCTGAATGGTGATGGCCGTTCTTGGTGACGACAGATCGAAGGACGCCCAAGAAGGGACCTTCTTCGTCCGAACAGGCGGCCCAATCAAACCCAATTGACCAGGCTCACGTATGCAAAAGCTTTGACAAGTCTTGTCTGCCGTGGGCGTACTCATAGGCTCAACCATTGAGATACATACTAAGCTAATGGCCAGCGAAAAGGGTCAGAATGTACCTCTCCAGCGACACGCGACTCATTGTCGACGATCACCGGCATCATGAAAGACCTCTCACATGTTCATTGGTCATCAAATGGTATTCTTATGGACATGCGCTACACATTATAAACCCCTCTACTGGCCAAACGCCTCCTCGTAGTTGGTCAGGCAATACCTGTAACGGACACTAGAGTCCTCGATACCGTTCATAGCCTTCCTCAGACCGTCCGCGCTGATGGGAACCTCCTGCACCCACGTCTTGATGCCCTTGTCCGCAGCCAGCTGCAACATCTCTAGCGTCTCGCGTCTGCTGCCCAAGTGGGAGCTACCAATGAAGCAGCCATTGGGCAGGAAGTCCTGGTTGCGGACGGTGATGCCGCCGCCTCCCGGAAGACCGACGGAAACCCACTTGCCGTGGACGTCGAGAAGGCTGAGGTAGGCAGAGAGGTCGAAGCCCTCAAAGGAGTTGGCCGTGTTGAGGATAAGGTCGAACGTCATCTTGTGAGGCTCGTTCCAGCCCTTCTCGCCGGAGGCGAGGTAGCCGTCGGCGCCCATCTTGAGGGAGTCGGCCTCCTTTGAGCGGGAGCGGGAGATGGCCCAGACCTCGGCGCCGAGGGCCTTGGCGAACATGACACCGAAGTGACCAATGCCACCAATACCGACGATGCCGACCTTCTTGCCCGGACCGCAGCCGTTGCGGATGAGAGGGCTGTAGGCGGTCAAACCGGCGCAAAGCATGGGCGCGGCGAGGGTGCTCGGGAGGGCTTCGGGGATGGGGAAGACCCTAGCAGATATCAGTATGGGGTTTATCCTCAAGTGGCTTTGAGGGAGCTCACCAGTGCTCGTGGGTGCGGACGTGGGATGAGTAACCGCCCTGTGAGATGGCGCCGGAGTCAGGGAAGGTAGATCCGTAGGTGTCGAGCTGCTCCTTGCAGTATGTCTCGTTGTCGTTCTTGCATTGGCGGCAGTCGAGGCAGGCGTAGGACTGGGCACCGACACCCACACGCTCACCGGCCCTGATCTTGGTGACCTTGGGGCCGACTCTCAGAGCCTTGCCGACAATTTCTGGCTATCTTAGTACTCGCGGTCTGAGATGCAATTGGAGTAGACTCACCGTGGCCGACGGCCAGAGGGTAGGGCTGAGCACCCCAGTCACCCTTGACGGTGTGAACATCACTGGCGCAGACACCGCAGCACTCAATCTTGATATCGACGTCGTAGTCTCCGAAGGGCTTAGGGTCGAACTGCTGCTTCTTGAAGTCTTGCCAGGTCTCGGCGCTGTTGACCTGGAAGCCGGTGAACTTCTCGGGGATGTTGGCCATCGTGACTGTGATGGATATGCAGTTGAAGTGTGTGTAGAGGGTCAATCAGCTCGTTCGGCAGCGGGAAACCTATGGGCTGCGTGAAGAAGTAGATTGTCAAGGCAGGAAGGAAGGGGAAGAGAAGAGGCAGAAACAGCTAAAGGGCAGACCAGAGGGACGGCGGCGGATGAAATACCTCTGGCCATCGTATAGCTACCCCCAAGCAACACCCCCACCTTCCAACCTCAGTCGCGGCGCGTGGAGCAAAGTCCAGTGATCCCTGGATGAGGGGCACCACCAACTGCGACGAACAAGGAGGGGCTAACGTCGCGCCGCAATGTCATCCCGTGCGAGATGGATGGATGGAAGAGGAGGACTGGGGCGGGACCCTGGCCCAGGCAAGGCTAGGCGCCTGCTGGGGGGAGGAACTCGGGTGAATTTCCCCTCGAGAAAATCCCCATTGCTTATATGCGTCCCTCGTCCGACTTTCACGATGCCGAGCCAGTGGCTTCATCCGCATGTCCGTGGATATGTTGCCGAATGAAGGCAGCACGGACGTGCCTGGCTGGAGTTATCGACGGGCGACGCTGGTGACGCATGTTCCCATGATTGTGAAATCGGTCTGCTGAATTTTGTTTCTGGCTTCGCTTGTCCTCTTTCTGATTGTTGCTCCATCCCATCCATCGTGCCGTGCCCCGCGATGAAACCCCACCATTGCCCGCCAATTGCACCGCACAATCCACCCGACCCAATGTGGCTTCCCCCGCGGCTTGGGGAAGGGAAATTGTCCGGGGGATTTTCCGAGACCGGCTGCCGAATTTCCCACCAACTAGAACCCGCCGTCTCTGTTCCGATCTTCGACGAGTTCGACTGGAAAACCGCAGTCACAGATAACATCGGGCTTGGCTATACCAAAGAGCCATGGTCGGAGGGTCAACCTCGCTGCTCGGGGGCCGCTTTCGCTGTATCTCGGTACACGTCTCCGAGCCTCAATGTGTCATGCAAATGACTCCAACCAACCACCTGAGCTGTGCTGTAAGTATTCCTGGTTGAAGCGAACCGGACGGCCGTTCAGGAGGGCGCTATGCTGGTCGAACGGGGTTCCGGATACCAGCATGTCGGTATTTGCTCGGGTTTGTACCTGCTTGCATCCCTCATCAACTCTTCCATCGACTCGGGACATCGTCTGCATGCAGGCCATCTTCAAAACTTTATCCCCGATGAGTTTTCGATGTTTTCGTCCTCGGCAGCGGCGTTGTGCTGACCGAATGTCGGCGGGCTCGGGCTCGGTGCAATGTTCGGGCGGTCCTCCGCCCAGCATTAATGCCACCCCTGTCAACCATCGGCTTATTCATCTGGACAGCTCTGCCACCCATAGCTCCTTATTGCTGTCTGTTAGCCACAACGCGTCGACCGCTGAGCCCAACATTGGCCAGAAACGCGGTGCGCATGGAGGCACCGAGGTAGACAAAAGGCACGTTGCCCCAGTCGATGGCGTTCCACTTGGTGAAGTTGTAGTAGACCTCGGGGCCTAGGCTTCGGACGGTGTACAAGTGCCCAAGGTCGGCGACCAGCAGGACGAACAGGACGGTCTTCCAAACCCGGATATCGTTCGTCGAGCGGAGGACGAGGGCCTCGTTGAGGGCGAAGAGGAGGTAGAGGTTCGCAAGCTGAGAGAGCACGATCGTGGTACCCTGAGGGATGACGTCGGGCTTCGATATGGCGTGAGTGAGTGTGAGGTATTCGTCCTGTCGGAAATGGGCGAAGAAGGCACCGACGAGGGCGGAAATAGGCTCGATGGCGAGGAAGAAGACTCTGTAAAAGAGAGGGACCTGTCGGCCGGCCGTGGTGTACTGTACTGCTGATTTGGGAGGCATTGCCGCGGCGTCCAATTGTGGTGTTCCGGTATTGACGAGTCTCTGCGACAAACTGTGATTCGACCTAGAGAAGAGTAGAAAGGCAGGAAGAGTGCAATTGAGGGGGACGGAGCTGGTGGTTTCGTCTCATCAAGGGGATTTCTCGCGTGACGGGAACCCTGATGGACTGGACATTTCGTCATGGGGGGACATGGAAAAACCGAAGCTCCGGCGGGCTTCCCCGGCCCCGCGGGTTCCTGCTTGCCGGAGCTGACGGCAGTTGGCCCCTGCTTTATCGAATCAGGGAACTGCACCCACACGTTCTCTCTGACCTTGAGAGATCGAGGCTAAAAATATTGGTATAGAAGCTTAGGTGTGAAGAAGAGTTCCTTTTGAACAACTTGGTAAGACACAGAATAAAAAGAACTGAGCGCAAGCACAACAAAAAGCACCCTCATCTGCGCTTAGAGGGCTTGAGGCTACCCTAGAGCAACGACGATATCGAACTCGAGGTAATTCACTTGCAACATCAACACCCGGCCTATCTCCTGCACTCATGGAGTCAGACTTGAAATCAGAGTCTTCTGATTCTGCGTCGCCGCTACCATCGCATACCGGCATCCTGAGAGACGAGACTCTCATCCTTCGACAGCTACTGGGGCATTATGGTGACATCGAAACCAGCCTACCTACGCTTCCTCTGTCAAAACCGGCACAGGGGTTGCAAAAGACTCCCATGAAAGATTTCCTGTTCGTCGGGCTTGACATTGACACCTTTCAAGGATATGAGAAACTTCTCCCAGACCAACAACTTCACGTTGGTATTTCCCTATTGGACACTCGCGACCTTGAAAGTGCACTATCAACCCCCGCTTCAAGAGATCATAGCCAAATGATCATGTCTCATCAATTCACCGTTGGAAATTCCCGGTATAGCAGACGAGCCTCGAACAGGTTCTTGTTTGGAACTTCGCAATCTATTACGATTGAAGAACTGAAGCCAAAAGTTGAAGCCTTGATCGATGCTGACCGGAATACCGTTTTGGTCTTACATGGAACCAGTTCAGACCTCAAGATCATCCACCAACTCAACATCAACCTTGCAAACCGATCGCTTTATATCATTGACACGAACAAAGCTGCCCAGTTTCCTCTCCAGTTGTACTATCGGTATGGCTTGGAGAAGCTGCTCGATGCTCTACAAATTCCTTTCGCAAATCTCCATGCAGCGGGGAACGATGCACGCTTCTGTCTGCAAGCTCTACTCATGCTTGTGGTACGAGATGCTGAAAGACAGCCTCTAAGATGCTCTGAGGCATTAATACACTTGCTCAAGGACGTAGCACAACAACCGAGACCATCCACAGCGGGAGAAATACAAGGCCCTATACAGGAACCTAATCGGCAAGCAAAGATTGATCAAAAGACGAGGAGGATAGAGAAACGGGCCGCTAAGAGACAGAGAAAATTACTGCGTAGAGCAGAACAGGAGGGTAAGGTCCCGCATACCGAGGAGTCGGAGGCTTCAGACGACGCTCCTTCACAGGAGCAACTCGATGAAGGGGTAGCAATCTCGAGCACTCATGTCGTCTGGCTAGTTTGTGCAGTCTACACGATGTGTCAGCTCTGGCGAAAATTTGGGTGGAAATGACGGTCGCTTTCTTTGCCCCTACAGCACACCTCGGAGAACAATGGCCGATGATCTCAGACATCACATCGACTAACACCCGCAATGTCGGTCTTCCGCGAGCATTTGGCATGCGGTGTAAAGGGTGACCATCTCTCATTTCCTAGTGGTCTAACAACAGGTATCTGGAATGATGCTAGACGATGATCAGACAGACATTATGCCCTCAAGCCCGTAATCTGAGTCAAGAGGGGATGCAGAACATTTCCAGTTTGAGTCAGATGCCATCTCGGTCTCTGGCGGGTTTGGGTGCTGAAGCAGGGAAATCAGATAAAATCGGGAAAAAAGAAAGAAAGAGAAACCCGCTATTGCGCACTACACGGTTCTACGGTTCGTATTGCGAAAAGAAAGCGCGACTGCAGCAAAGTCGATCATAACAATTTATCTGGCAGGAAAACAACAGAGATTGGCTTCACATATTTTCTGCCCGTCGGTCCGTTGAGACTGTTGCTTTTGGTGTCGCTTGGAAGAACCAAAACCCAGCAGGGGCGAAGGGATTTTCAGGGTGCAGTAGGGGCGCATCTGCAGGGAACCAGGGGTAGGACTGCGCTTCATCGATGTCACTGTGGCACGAAAGGAGGCATTCCGTAGTTCTCTGGCAATAAGCCTGAGCATATGGCGGGCGAGTTGGTTTGGCGTTGTTGATGCTACCCGTATCGAGTTAGACGAAAGATGATGGCAGGAAAGGAGCATTTTCCAGAAGACAGTCTATTGAAGTTGCGGATACATGACTTTCGCGATAGCTCACGTGGTGTAGTGTGTACATGGACATGGGACCTCGTGTACGTACTTGCTAGCTGAAGGTCAAAAAGCAGGCGCACGTTGCGCTAAACTCCGGCGGTGTTGCAGTGGAGGGTTGCGACGAGCTGGCTGCCATCTCCCGAATCAACAATAAAGAAATTGTAAACAATGCAACAGGTTATTGGGAAGGTTGTAGTGGCTGGGAGACGACGTTTGGTGCGGCGGTTTCAACATTTACAACGTCAAAGACGCTGGACCCTCACCCAACATCGCGTCAATATTGACTGAGGTGCATCAAGTATGCCCTCAGCGCAAGCCACCGTCTTACCTCACGCTGCCGTCTTCCCTCCAGAGCCCCCACGGTTGTTGCCCACGGGACTCGCTGTCTGAGTTGATGTTGACGCATGTCTTCCGTCGCTGTCACCATCCTTCAGGCTGACCGGGCATAGTAGATTCCATACATATCATAGTACCTTACTTCGAGACGCGAAGATATAGCCCGGGAGGGTCATCATCTCCGGTCCTGCATACACGTACCAAACATACAAAGACCGTTCAGTTCCCGGGAGCACCCCCTTCACTTTGCAACAACAAGAACAGCGCACGTCCAACAAGACGCCCTTTGCTTGTCGGCCAGCCCGTCCACGTCTCTGGATACCGAACGTGTTCCCGGTACCCCAGATTGGCGTAGGGAAGGAAAGGAAAGTACTACCGCTTCTACGGCGCAACGGCCTCCTTCCTTGATTGTTCTTCACCAAAGGACCTGGCGCTTTTTTCTTTCTTTTTCTCTACCCACAGCACAGAGCAGAGGACCCTTTTTCGACATCGGAGACAATAGTCCGCATTGCATCGTACATACACCATCCATACCTTACCTACATACCGCAGGCCTGGGTACCTGAGACTTCTTGCAGCAGACGCTAGCAGGATTTACATCAACATTACGGAGTCTGGAATTCTGCCCACCCTGCCCCGAGATCAACAAACACAGGGCCACGGGGCTCACACCGGCTGAAAAGGCGCATACCTCTGCACATCCCTCTCTCTCTCGCCCGCCGTGTTGACTTCTCCTGACGCGACCGACTACACCGGGCCATCGTGTCGTCTCTTCTTTCCTTTGTTGACTCGCGCACGGCGTCAAGGAGTCAAGGAGCGCGCTAGTTATTGCCAGACGACGGCAAACTCATTCTTCAAAGACACGCCCACACGCCGTCCCCGTCACCAGCATCTTGGTGGTGTCGACTCTCTCTCTCTCTCCCCCTCTCCACCGCTCCTTTCCCATATTGCCAGACCCGATTTCAGCCCCCCGATCCGGTTGGCCCGTAAAGTCGATCCCTCCTTCAAGCAGAAACGGACCCTGAAAAATTCTGAGAGCAGCAGCAAGCCAGCAGGAGCAGCCCGGGGAGGGAAACGAACACCCCTAAGGTACTTGCTGGCGTTAGGCCGGAAAAGGACAAACCCCCCCAGCACCCCCAGGAACGGCCTCTTTCCGTGATTTCCACGCCTCCGCCTGCACTGCGACTGCACCTCATCTCCCATCTTCCCGCCCTCTTCCCCCCGAAATCTGCTGCCCGTCCTGTCTCCCTGTTGCCTTCCTACTGGCTCCCACAGGTACAGGTCCCTGCCTTTCGCTACTGTACCTACTGCGGATAGGTACCTTATCCCATTGCCGGCCGCTACCCTGCCCAGCTATCCACCTCACCCTTTGGTGGTAAGGTAGGGAACGAAGCCCGAGACAATCCCGTCGTCCCTGGACTGCTACGAGTTTCGGGCGCGCCAGACAGAGTCAGTCAGGTCTGGGAAGGGGTCCAAAAATAAGGAAGAAGAAAAGAAGGGAGACCGCAAAAGAGGCTAAACCACGCCCAGGTAAGGAGAAAAGAGGCTTCCCTTCCATGCTCTGTCTGCCCTGCCCAGGCCAACCTACAAATGATTCAAGCCTCCCACTGACCATGTGATGATCCCAGGTCCTGTCCTGTCCTGGTCCTCGCCTCGCCTCGTGCTACCGCTCCGCCCTGCCCCACGGGTCTTGTTTCGATCTCTTCTTCCTGTTCCCCCACGGACGCCTTTCTATTCTCTAACAAGGTGACGGCCGATCCGACTTCGACCTCGCGTTCGATTCATTACACCTTCATCCATTGTATTATTAGCGTCGACCACTGCTTTCGACGACGACGAAGAAGAAGACGAAGACGAAGACGACGACGACGAGATGGCTCCACGCATCTACAACGTTTCCGACTGGGCCCCGACTCAGGAGGCCATCTACGACGAGCCGTCCTCCAGTTCCGCCATCCAAGAAGACGAAGCCAGCGGACAGCAGCTTCAAACTACTACTAGACCCTCCTTTCAACAGCACCGCCTTCGCAGCATGAGCCTCTCTCTCCCATGGCGGCGCAAGTCCTTCATGCTCCACGCCGATACCGACCTGGCCAGCCATATGGAAGACCTTACTCTCGAGCAATCACGAAGCCACGGCGGCCCCAGCAACGAGCAGAACCCGGCCCAGGGTACCAACGCGACAGCACAAGGCAATGGAAGCATCAAAGGAATGATCCGTCGGGCATCAGTCTCGCTAAAGGGCATCGTCCATCAC